TTATTTGACAGAGAGACACAGCGAGAGAGGGAACACAAGCAGGGGGAGTGGGAGAGGGAGAAGCAGGCTTCCCGCGGAGCAGGGAGCCTGATGCGGGGCTTGATCCCAGGACCCTGGGATCATGACCTGAGCCGAAGGCAGATATTTAACGACTGAGCCACCCAGGCACCCCTGGCCTAGACACTTAAGTGCCTGCAGGAACTATCTGCTGAGCTCTGCCTCTTACACCTGGCACACTGGGGGGACCTGCACGTGGCTTTGTCAACCAAAGACCGTTTGTTTTCCCACTTTCAACTGCCTTGTTCACTCAGGAGGCAAGAAACTCTTTCCATGTGACTCTCTCAAGTACTTCCTGTCTCCACCCTTCAAATGGCCACTTAGAGGAAAGTTGTTTGCAATTCAGAGCATTTTTTCCCCATTAGAATATGTCATAAATGGTAGTTAGGGTTTAAGCCCAAACACACTAACTTTTGCTTAATGCAATGCTCTCATGATAGAAGTGAACTTCCATTTATGACTATGTTTTCTTGTGGTTTTTAGTATGCAAGAAAATGATCCATGGATGCCAAATTGGATTGCCAGGAACCCTGACATTGTACTGCTGGGCCCTGTGGCTTCGCCCCTTCCCTCACTGTCCACCCAGTTCTGTCCATCAGCAGGGATATTGGGTGGAGATGGGGAGCAGAGGTGGGGATGCAGGCAAAGGAGAACTGTAGCAGGAGCCTCTGTGCAGTGTGGACAGATGTCCTGCCTTCCTTCTCTCCCCAGCCTTCCCTCCCTGGGGCTGTAGAAGTGGGTTTAGAGTGCCTGGTAGTCTGGTAACTGGGAAAAGCAGGAGAGGACTTTCTGCTCCTGTCAGCCAGATGGAGGTGGCCATTTATATTTGGAAAATGCTCTATACATCGGGGACTGCCTGTATTTGGAAATTCATTAACTCAGCATCCTGTTCTCAACCTCTAAGCTGCATTTTGAAATTGTCAGTATTTTTATTAAGCCTTAAAACTTTTTTTATGTGCATTTGGTGCCAAATTTTTTCTAGAGCTGTATCAAAAACAAGAAGCCTGTACTCACATCAGAATGTAGTTTTAATAGGGGCGTTGTGTTTTTACAAGGCAGGATTGGGTATAACCGTGGAATTAAACTTAGCAATCATGTAAAAAAAAAATTATTGAGTTGGAACAATCTCTGGAATGTAGTTTGGATCAAGAAATGAAGAAAAATGGTGAATTAGAAAAAGAGATTACTAGGTAAGACTAATATTTCAGATAATTTTAACCATTAACTGATTTAACTGTAATTTTACTTTATTAAATACAAATTCTTGCCAAAATATTACACTTACTCTTTAATGATTCCTTAAATAATAACAAGAGTTCCTTTAACAATAACAACTGTAATTTTCATTGTCCATCTTGAAGAGTTTCTGCAAGATATCTTTGTTCTTTGGTAATATTTCCTTTTAATAGTGTTCTTCCCTTCCAACAAATATTGTAATATCTAAAAACTTGTGTCACTGTTTAATCATATCAAAAGTTATCTTGGTGTGGCTTATATTTTCTTTTTTTTATATTATTTTTTAAATTTAAATTCAGTTAACCAGCATAAAGTATATTAATTTCCAAGGTAGAGTTCAGTTATTCATCAGTCTTATATAACACCCAGTGCTAATTACATTAGGCGCCCTCCTTAATGTCCATCATCCAGTTACCCCATCCTTCTCCCCTCCTCCACTCCAGCAACCCTCAGTTTGTTTCCTATGATTAAGAGTCTCTTGTGATTTGTCTCCCACTCTAATTTCATCTTGTTTCATTTTCCCCTCCCTTCCCCTACGTTCCTCTGTTTTGTTTCTTAAATTCTACAGATGAGTGAAATCAAATGATAATTATCTTTCTCTGACTGACTTATTTGGCATAATACCGTCTAGTTCCATCCACGTCATTGCATGATATCATTTTTTTTATTGGCTGAGTAATAGTCCATTGTAAATATCTACACATCTTCTTTATCCATTCATCTGTCAATGGACATCAGGGCTCTTTCCACAGTTTGGCTATTGTGGACATTGCTGCTATAAACATTGGGGTGCAGGTGCCCTTTCGCATCACTACATTTGTATCTTTGGGGTAAATCCTTAGTAGTGCAATTGCTGGGTCATTAGGTAGCTCTCTTTTCAACTTTTTGAGGAACCTCCATACTGTTTTCCAGAGTGGCTGTCCCAGCTTGCATTCCCACCAGCAGTGTAAGAAGGTTCCCCGTTGTCTGCATCCCTGCCAACACCTGTTGTTTCCTGAC